TCGCCCATGGAACGCTCTCCTTCTGTCGTTTTTGTACGGACACTAGCCATAGTTAAAAGACGGTTGGGTGACGCACACAGACTCTCACATTTGGTTACGTAACACTATCTTTCCGTCATACTCTTGAGAAATATTTTAGATTTATTATTAGTCACTGATTGGTGCGGTGAAACTACGCGGAGTGCAAAATTCAGAGGCGTAGCAAGAGGGGCGGGTGGTGGTCCGCCCCCGGTAGCGTGTGGCAGCAGGCGGCCTTTTTAGTGCAGACGATCGTTCGATGACAGACGCGAACGGCAAAACTTTCAGATAAGCCGATGGTTGAATATGGTAATATTGCCCTGAACAACCGAAACACACTTGCGCCATCTGTCACGCCCGTCTGTCCCTTGTTTCTGCTCGCCTTTGCCCACGTCTATACCGTTACGCATCGTGCCCCTAAGTAGTCACCAGTAAACGTAATGCATTTCATCCACAAGGCGTTATACAGCGGCCACGTTTGTAATGCTGATGCAGATGTGGGCACATTTGAAAACTGGAAGCATAACCACTAGCTGGGACGATAATTCTCACATCAACAATTTTGCGGATATCAGTCTGTGGTCCGTTAACATCGATCGTGAAATTCGCACTATGCTTGTCCGACTGGGATCTATTGCTGTGCATCATGAATTCAAAGAAGTGGCGCGACCTGGGACGAATACAAAAAGCGAAGCTAGGAAGCTAACAACGAACTGCTTTTTAAGAAATTTGCGAAAAGGAGGACAAAGGTTACGAACGTGGATGATGTAATCCCCTTCTCAAGTGGCCTTGTTTTACTTCGGCTGCAGAATGCTGTCAACAGAAACTTAGTTTTTGACTGATAAGTGTTTCCGGACTGGTGGAAATTAAATCCAAATGTATGTGTACACGAATCTAGTAACTCATAAGTTGAAGTCTACCACAGCATTAAGGAGCTAGAGATCCGGCTACTTGAAGGGAACACAATTGTCAAAATAGAACCCTTTTCGAAAAGGAACAGAAAAGGTGGTGAAATTCTAGTATCAAGTGGTCACCGAGAACGCATCCAGGAGGATAAACACCAGGGAAATAGTGGGAATGTTTCAGCCATGGTGCATTAGTTGGATAAATATGGCCGTGTTTTCGTGCACCTCAGCTGAGAACCGAAATCAATGGTTCGTATTTGTCTCTAGAAGTTCAACATGAATTTGTGAGCGTTTTGCAATGCAGGTGAGAAATCCATAGATCAGGTCAAGCAAAGCAAATATGTTGGTTAATTTTCCATAGTATTCCAGATGTAACTCACAAAATGTAGACGAGTGATTTGCTAAGCT